TTCCTCTCCCACCAGAAGATTATAACTGATCTGTCAGAAGCATAAAGTGGTAAAGAACCAAGAACTTTAAAAGAAACTTACATCTTCCCAGGACAAAGGAAAACCAAAAAACAAAACGGTCTGGATGTTCAAGGGGCCTCCCCTCCTGGTCCCAGGATCCACAGTAGGGTCCTCCCTCCTCTCCCGTCGGGAGATCTCGGTGAGGGGGGAGGGGGACCCAAAGGCGATCTTGCCTTTGCTCACCCTGGGACCTTTACCTGGCAGGCCCTCTCCAGACCCCACCTCCCAAAGTGGAGATAACAATTGCTATATGCTGACTACGAAATAGCACTCTTTTAAAATCTTTACAGCAGTTGGTTCAACGGTCACATGGGTGTGACAACTCCGACCAGAGAAGGTGCCGTGAGGACGGCAGGGGATGAGGTGTGGAAAGCCCTGGGCATGATGCCTGGCACCCGGTGCCTGCTCCATCAGCGGACATGCCACCGCAGAAGACGGAGCGCTAAGCAAGGGCACCACGTTTATAGACTCAATACTCCAAACCAACCGCTCTGCTGTTGAGTCGGTCCTGAAGCACGGCGACCGTCCAGACAGAGTAGAACTGCCTCTGTGGGTTTCCATGACAGGGACTATTTACGGGAGTAGAAAGCTTCATCCTGCTGCTGCTGGATGAAAGCGGGTGGTGGATTCTAACTGCTGACCTTGTGGTTAGCAGCCCAAAGAGTAAACCCTTGCAGGGTGATAGATCATTTTTATCTCCCCTTTCTCAAAATGACCTTGTCGTGTCCATCAAATGACTGGAATGGACTATGCCAGGAAGTGCTGTGGCCCACCAAGGAGATTGGATAATATGCTAATCATGCAAATAAGGTGCATGGCACCCTGGTAGGGGTGGGATCATGTGAATAAAGTATATGGAACCTCATGCCATCCCAGAGGTAGACGGGGGTGCCTGACTACCACCAAGAAGAAGAAATGGAGGTGGAGCACATCCTTTGGAACTGGGGTCCCTGTGCTGGGAACCTCCTAGACCCAGGAGACAGAAAACGTGTGGTAGTTGCATGATGTTATGCCAACTTGAAGATTTGTAGAAGTGTAGGGGTGGTATTCAACATGCAATCAGGTCACAGCCTGATGGTGCCTCCTGGTGGGCGTGGCCTTCCCATAAGGAGGACCAGAGGAACTGCCCTCTCTCTCTGCCCTGACCTTCCTACTGGCTGACCCCAGGAGATGCCAGAGCCCGGCCATGTTTCGGCTGACATTGGATCCACAGGACTCTGTACCCATTGACCTGTGATCTTGCTGCATTCTGCAACATTGCATGTGGCTGCGTGACTCCGAAGAGGGACTCATGGACTAGTAGCAGACCTATGGGCTTGAGTTGGACTAGGGGGGGATGTGTTCTTGTGTATAATTGCTTCTTGATCTAAAGCTCTTTCTTGCTCATTTGTGAGTGTCACTGGATCTGTTTCTCCAGTCACCCTGGACTCGCACACAGCTGTAACACAGAAGAGAGGCAGAGAAAAGGGGTGGCAGAGGCAATAGTACCAGGAGACTGGCAGGAGATAGTGCAGTGAACTTCCCAGTCCATGGAGCCAGGAAGTGGAGCACCAGGAGGCTGGCTGGTGGGGTGGCAGCCTCTGGGTACTTGTTGGCAGACCTAGAGAGTGCTTGGTGACACTTGCCCTAGCCAGGCAGAGGCTGGGCCAGCCCAAGAGGTCCGATGGGTCTAAGAGGTCCAAGGTCAGGGAAAGGCTTGCCTGTAGGCATGGCTGAAAAGAGGCTGCATCCTGAGTCTTTCCTAATCCTGAATTGCACCTTTTACTTCACAGTTGTGAGGGTGGTTTGTGAATTGAATGCCCACTGCATGAACCCCCTCCAGCAGAAAAGACAGAATAAAGTGGGAGGGACTGTCAGTATCGGAGCTGGAAAAAGGTTGAGGACGGAGGTATGTCTGACCTCAGCTTTAGAGGAATCAACCTTAGGCTATTGATCTGGACTCGAACACTGCCCTTGTCTCCAGGACAATGGCCACACATGCACTCAGACATACCGAGGATCAGGAAGATAAGGTCTGTGAGAACTGGACCTTCCCAGACAGCTCCTCGGAGAAGCCTTCTCTGACTGCTTTATCCAAGGCACCTCCCCACCACCTGGCATCCTGCTCCATCATGCTTGTTGATTTTCTCCTTTGAGTTAATCATGATCTGAAGTCACCTCACGAACTTACTGTCTTTCTCTCCCTCCCTCTGCCCCCAAAGCCTTTGGCACGAGAAGAAACCCTCCCCGAGGACAGAGACCTTGACAACAGTGCACCCAGAAAGACACTCAGCTCATAGTCGCTGCTGGGTAAAAGTTGCCAGCTTTCAATCAACTTGATTGAAGTATAACTTGCACAGAAGAAAATGCATCCATTTGAAGTGGCCAGTTCGATGCGGTTTGACAAACAGATACTTGTGTGTAAACGCCACCCCCCCTCACCACACGCACTCCAAGCTTAGGTCCCTACCCATTTCCATCCCTCATAAAAATTTCTCCCGATTTTTAAAATTCAATTTATTTTATTCTCTTCATTGAATATAGCCACAGCAAATGTGATGATGTCTACATGTATACTTCAGTAACATCGGCTATCCCGTGATTGTTGCAATTTTCTTTCCTAGCCCTAAGCAAATCTGAGTCTGGAAGTGGGAGGGGGGGGACCTAAGGTACGGGGCCACTCACACATGCCCCCAGCACCTACAGTTTCCTATGCCTTTTCACTTTAGTTTCATCTGCCCCTCCCATGCGAAGCTATGGCTGCTCAGAGGGGCTCGATGACGTAGGTCAGGTCTCCCCTGGTGCTCTCCCACTGTCCCTGTGGGATGTTTGGGGTGTCTCCTGGGGTCTGGGGAAGTCTATTTGCAGCCCACCTTTACCCTCTGGCCCAGGTTTCCGGTTAGGCTGAGACACCTGGGGGCGTCCAGATACAGGGTAGTTCCTGGCAGGCAGGCCCGGAGCTCTCCATCCCCTTCCTAAGCAGAGCAGGCCTTTATGGTCCCTACAAATTCCTGTCACTTTGGGCCCTGAGAAAAATGAACCGATGTTACCGGCTTCACTTGCCCCCGGTTGCTGGAAGAGGGTTGCAGCCGGAGACTTGGCTTCGGGCTGGTTTGTACCTTTGCTCTGCTGGGCAAACTTGGCAAGTCACTCTCCCTCTCTGGGCCTGAGCCTCTGCCTCAGGAACAGGAAACCAGTCCTCCCTGCCAGCTTGACTGCCACTCCACCTGGTGACTCTGCCTGTGTGGTCCCCACCACCCCATGGCCACGCCCCAGTATCTGCTTTCAAGATTCCGGCCTTTCCACTTGCAGCCTCTGATCTCTCTCAGAATGCCCGCTCCTTCTTCGGCCTGGCTCTGCTCCTGAGGGCAGGGACACGGGGTGCCTAATGTAATGACAGGTTCTCTGTATTGAGAGATGACTGACCGTGTGGCAGGCATCGCGCTGTGTACTTTATTATCACATGTAATCCTCACAGCAAAGTGTCACGATTCTCATTTGACATACAAGGAAACAGGTTCAAAGGGGCTATGCCACTTGTCCAGGGTCACAGAGCTGTAGGGCAGCAGCTTGGGCCTTTTTGTCTTGGCACGCCCCCCAACCCCCCAAGCGTCTTGCAGAGGGCCCAGCTGGAAGAAGGTCTTGCTTCATCACCAGCAAGGAGCAAGTGCTGAGGGGCTCAATGCGTGGATGAGTGCCCACATGAATCACACTTATCAATTTCAAACGGACCTCCCGCTGTGCAGACAGGACTGAATTACAGGTGCTCAGTTACCTTTTATCACCATCTCTTGCTGCCCCCTGTGTTGGTTCGAGTGGGGGTGAGGGCAAGCCAATACTATGATAGGATACTCTGAGAAGGGGTGAGCACCCACACACCCGAAGGTCTTTGTTGGGATGCAGGATAGATTCGGGTACTCAGAAACCATGGTTGTTGGTCTCTGCCACTCCAGTCTCTGATTTTAGGGCCTCTGTTTTTTCAGCAGACGGACTGGGACTGTCTCCCCTTCCAGCTTAGGAGGCCCTGAGGCTAAAGCAGTTTCCTGTGGGACCGGTGACCCACCCATGCCCAGCCCCAACAACCCGGTGCCAAAGTCCATGTCAGCACCTGGGTTTTGACTCCTGCAGTCTTTTGCAAACCGTGAAGTGCTATTCACTCTGTTCATTCCCGATTTGCCTTGTCCTATAAATCGCCTCCGATCGATCAGGCCGCCCGAACAGCCTGGAGAGGACGTTGGGGTACCTTTGGCTTGATCCCCAGTCCACCGGCGCCCCCCTCCCCGCCCCACTTCCGTTATTGCGCAAGACAGGGCGGGCACACCTTCTTGGGCAGGTCGGATCAAGGCCAAGGAACTTCCCGAGTGCGGGCTGCGGTGGGCGGGGCTGGGCAAGGGGACTGGGTGCAGGGGGAAGGGGACGCGTGGCGTGTGGCCGGCCTAAGTGTCCGCCGCAATTCCGTCTCCTCCGCTTGACTCCCTTCCGCGGAGCCTGGGGAGGGGGTGACACCCCGGCTGGAGTTGTGCGGGGCGTCCCCATTCTTCGCGATGTCCCCACAGGCCCCTGCCCTTTCTTTGTCCCAGCCCGGGTTCCAGGCGCCTCTCTCCGCCTCGGGCTCCCTTTCCGGGGACCTTTTCTTTGTCTCCGTCTCCGGGCGGTCCCGGCGTCTCCAGCCCCGGGCCCCACCCGAGCTGGGGGCGAGGCCTGGCGGGCTGGGGGCGTGGCCTAGCGGGCCGGGGCGTGGCCGGGAGGGCCGGGGCGCGGCCGGGTGGCTGGGCCGCGGCGGCGCGGGAGGCTGAGCCGGCTGGACAGACGGACGGACGCGGCCAGAGCCGGACGGAGCCGGAGCCGGAGCCCGAGCGCTAGCAGAGGCCGCGGCCAGGGCCGGCGCGATCCGCTGGAGCGGGCGGGCGGGCGGAGCTCCATGGCGCCAGCGGCGTCCGCCTGAGCGGCGCGGACAGCGACGGGCGGCGATCGGGCCGGGCAGCGGCTCTTGTTCGCCATGGGGGACGCACTGTCCACACACCTGGACGACGCCCGGCGTCAGTGCATCGCAGGTGAGTCCCGCGTCGCGCGCGCCGGGACCCTCCGGGAGGTCTGGACCACGCCCCCGCCCAGACCCACAGTCCGCCTGGGCCCGGGGCTCCTGAGGGTCTAGCCCAGGCCGGGACCGCACCGGCCTCCCGGCTCCGAGTTTGTTTCCTGCGCGCCTGGGCGCCCTTTCCCGTCCCCCTTCTGAACTCACCGATCTCCGGCGGGGAATGGGGCGCTCGCCTGTCGGATCCCTATTGGAAGCGCTGTCCCTCCTGTCTCAACCCCTTTCAGTGGGTCCCCCTGCACACGATCCTTGACCAGGCTGTGGGAGGGGTCGCAGACCGCCCATCTCTCCTCCTTGGAATGCCCTCAAGCACACTGGCGAGTCTTGCCCTACTTCAACTATCTTGGTCTCCAGCTCGCCCTGGACGGAGCTCCAGGACACGTGGCCGAGGCTTCCTGAGGACGGGCCCAAGGACTGACCCATCCAGTCCGGAGGCTGAGCCTGTGGAGAGGCTCTGTGGATCAATGGGGTGCATTGGAAGGGGCGGCTGCTGCCTTTAACTCTGGCTCAAGCAAGGTGCTGCAGCTGGTGCCCGAACCAGCGTGCAGGCCCCGGGCCAGAACCAGGCCTCCTCAGCCTTTCTCCTTCAGCCTCCTTGGCTCCCTTTTCAGAAGGCCAGCTGTTCCCAGGGCTCCTGGGGAAGCCCCAGACTGCTGCAGTGTCCAAGGTGCCTCCTCCCACCCAGACCCCACCCTGACCCTCAACCCCTCGGGAGAATAGGGAGAGAGGGAGGGTGGGAATCCCAGGCAGCCTGGGAAAGGCAGTTCTGTGGCTAACCTCTCCCTCCTGGGGTGGAATCCCAACATCTGTTTCCCAGTGGTGTAATCTTGGATATGCCTCTCAATGGCTTGGTGCCTTGGTTGTCTCCTCTTTGAAATGGGATGAATGAGCTCTTGTGTGTTAATGGGTTCTTGAGAGACTTTGGTGAGCGAATTCACGGAGCTTGGTTAGCAAAAGGCCCCGGAGCTTGGTTAGCAAAAGGCCCCGGCACACAGGGTGTCTGTTTCTTCGGGGTTCCAGCCAGTCTGTGGAGAGAGAAGAGAGTTCCTCATGGCTGAATCTGGCGGCCCTGCCCAGTGGGCCTAGAGCGCTGAGTCTGCCCACACTTAACCTTGCCGTCCTGCAGTGCTGCTGAGTTTCAGCAACTGTGTGCTTCACCTTACATCCCTTGAGAACAGTGACCCCGTGTCCCTTAACTTCATGTCCCCAGGGCTCCACCCAGCCGCATACAAAGGAGGTGCTGGGGAAAGCTTGCCAAAGGACAGTGGTCCTGGACCTTTGTGCCAGGCCTGGGGCTGGACATGGGTGGGAGTGTGGTGCAAACATGAATCAGGCCCTCTCTATTCCAGGAGGACCAGCGGGGGGTCGGGGGGAGTGCCCTGGCCATTCCCCTAGCAGGACTCTGGGGAGGAAGGGCTGGCAGAACTTTCTTGTCCCCTCCCTGTCGGTGGCCGCCTCCTGGGGCTCTGTAACAGTCTATCCATTCAGGCCTGCCTGTTGGGGCCCCCTCACCCGGCCTAGGTGGGGTGGGGTGTGCCTGGTCTTGAGTGGGGTTTTTCCTCTCCCCACACCCAGCTCTGGGCTTGTCTTTCCCTCCCCCCAGCTTCTGGGCTCAGAACGGCCAGCCCACCTTCCTCTCCCCTGGCCGTTTGGTGGGGAGGAGACTCAAGCCACAGAAGGTGAAGTGTCCTCCACTGGGATTTGTTTGGTGGATGCCAGGCTGTGCGGAAGAGAGGGCTGTGCCCACTCAGCGCCTGTGGGCCTCTCACTTCTCAGCACTTCAGGGCTATTAATAACCCTCTTCTAATACCTCAGATTCCTGGTCCAGCCTCACCTGTGGGGCTCCTGAAGTTGGGGGTGGGGGTGGAGGGGGAATGGTGGGGGGGGCGGACTGGGAAGCCATCTGCTTGGAAATATCTGTTGGAGGGGAATGAGGGTGTGCCTCTGTCGCCCACAGTGATCCATGCACCCCCTTCACCCCACCCAAGGAGCAGTGGACATTTTCATACCAGGCAATTAAAGTTCCAGACCTCTCCCACCTGAGCCTGCTTCTCCACCCAGGAGACCCAGGGCCACCCCTGTGGAAACGTCAGTATTTGGAACATACCTTCCCCCCAGTGCTCTGGGCTCCCAGGCCTGTTTGAGTGCCGGGGCTTGGCTCGCGGTGGCCAAAGCTCTGAGCCCGTGCCAGCAGGTGAGCAGGCACATGTCAGCCTGCAAGTCCTGGCAGAGGTCAGGAGAGCTCCAGCCCACAGTGTGTTTTGCTACCACGGCACCTTTCATCCTGGGATTTCAAAGCCTCTGGCAGGCAGGGACTTGTTCCCACCCCATGGCCCATGGGGCTGGTGGCAGGATGATTCTGTCTGTCTACATACGGGAGAGTGCTGTGGGGAGAGCTTTGGCTGGGAGCCCAGAGCTCGGAGCCCGGGAGGTCTGCATGCCCTCAGGTCAGCCACTTAACTCTCTCTGGGTCTCAGTTTCCCCAACTGGAGTCCTTATGATGTAGTGGGTTACCTGTTGGGCTCTTTAAAAGGCCATTAGTTTGAAGCCACCCTTCCCACTGAGGGAGAAAGAGGAGGCTATGTACAAGATTTACAGCCGTGGGAACACAAAGGGGCAGCTCTACCATGCTCTAGTGGCATTGTTACGGGTCAGAGTCCACTGAAGGGCGATGGGTTTGGATGTGCTTCACCCCCCCTTTTTGGGGGGTGTTGTTTAAGCTGAAAGAGATTGTGCTGCCTGATGGCTGAAATCCTTTCCACTTTGGGGGAACTAACAACCCCCCTAAAAGGAACCCTGGTGGCACTCTTGGGTAAACGTTGGATGGCTAACCACAAGGTTGGCTGTTCAAGCCCATCAGCCTCCCCAAGGGAGAAAGACGAGGCTGTCCATTCCTGGAAAGAGCTGCCATCTCGGAAACCAACACAGGCAGTTCTCTCCCGTCCTGTAAGGTTGCTGTCACTCGGAATTGACTTGATGGCAGTGAGATTCCCGGCCCCCCCCCCCTTATTCTCGCTCTCCTGTAGAGATGTACAGCCTCAGAAACCCTAGAGAAGGTTAATATGGGTTGGAATCACCTTGATGACAGTGGATTTGTCTTATTTTTTTGGAGGGGGAGGGCGGGAGGCAGGGGTTTGTCTTAACAAACTCCAACTTTCCCCACAAATCTGCTCCTCCAGACCGAAGCCAGCTCAGGGTCCTCACACAGACTTGGCTGACCCATGGGTCAGTGTCTTACCTTGTATTTTCTTATCTGAAACATGAGAATAATAATAGTGCCTGCCTCCTAGTCACGGCAGTAATGCTAGAGCTAGGCTAACGCACATACTTGGGGCCAGTGCTTGAGGCGTCTCTTGGGTTCAGTCAGCAATGCTGTTGCTATTGAGGCCCTCGGTCTCTCTGGTGTGGGTTGCTGCTTAAAGTGCTGGGCTGCTGAGAGGTCAGAGATGCAGCTGGATCACACCCTTGGCTCCAAGGCGGGGGACCAGGGCAGTTTACTTCAGTAAAGACTGACCACCTGGGAAACGGTGGGGGCAGTCTGCTCCGTCCTATGGGGTCTTTGAGTTGGAATTCACTCCAAGGCAGCAGGTCCTCTTTGCTCTGTGTGGGCACGAGGAGAAAGACGGGGCCGTCTACTCCCGTAAACAGGTACGGTCTCGCAAACTCAGGGGGGCAGTTCTATGCTGCCCCATTGGGTCAGTATGAGTCGGCATGACTCGATGGCAGTTAGCTTGGTGGTGGCAAGGTTGGAGTTGGCATCCACCCTGACCCCAGGGACTGGACAAACCTTGGAAGAACAGGATTCCGCACCCCCACCCCCACCCCACCCCGTCGCTGCAACTGTCTCTTCAAACCCCAAACACCTGCCTGTGCTCTTTGCCCATCCCAGAACTGCCTTGATGTACCTCAACTCACATAGCACCACGGGATTAGGCCCTTGTGACCCAGGGGGCGTGCCACAGATTGGTTTTCAGACCCAGATTGTCTGTAGAGGAAGCTGTGTGCTGCTGGGATGCTGAGCAAGTTTCAGAGTAGCTTCCAGACATGGAGCCCTGGCGACATAGTGGTTACGTGTTAGACTGCAGTCCACATGGTCGGCAGTTCAAAACCACCTGCAGCTCCTTGGGAGAAAGACTGGGCTTTCTCCTCCTGTAAACAGTGACAGGCTCAGGAGACCCACAGGAGGGTCACTATGAGTCAGCAGTGACTCAATGGCAGTGAGAGTGAGTTCAGACTAGGAAGCTAGACCTGGTGATGAAAACCCGGCTGTGGAAACCCCCAAGGATCATGATGGTCTAATCCCGTGATGTATGGGGTACGGGGACCATGTCAAGGCAGCATCTGGTTCTGGGGTGTGTGAAGAGCATGACGTTTGAAGGGGCAGTTGCAGCTATGTCAGGGTCCCGATGCTCCAAGGTTCGTCGGGAGTCCACCCAGGATTTTGGAAACCTCAGTGACCAAGTTCCTCCTTGTGGGAGGGGGCTGTGCCGTCTGGAGCCCGGCCAGAGAGCAGTGGCGGAGGACCCGAGGAGAAGCAGAGGGGAGTGGAGCTTGGAGAAGCGGGTGGATTAGGCTACCTCACACCTTCCACCTGGCCCAGAGGACTGGCACAGAGAGATGCAGGAAGTCTGGGAAGCTGGAGCAGTGTGGTCTAAGGAGTGCTCTGTGGATGGCTGGAGATGCAAAGCCACAACGAACAGGTGCAGAAGTTCACCGCCTAGCACGCCAGAAGTGACAAGTCGGGGCTGGATGACAGACCCGTTTTTTGCCTGGCAAGAAGCCTGAAATGGGCTAGGGGCTGGCACTTTGACCTCGATAGAGCCTTGGGGGACTGGCTGTTTCTCTGGAATATGTGTTGACCAGGAAGAAATTGTGGTGACAGAGGAACCCCCTCCTCCCACAGCCTGAAGATTTATTACTCACGAAGGTGGGTGGCCAAAAGCCCAACCGAACCTAACT